CATGAATGAAAGAAAGAAGCACCTTGATGATATATCCCACTGACAGTAAATCCAGCAGCCCAGCCACTGTCAAAATTATTTGGTTTGTAGGTGGTCATAGATTTTTTTTTTTAATTCTTCCTTGAATAATTCTAGAGAATATTGGTATTTGACATAGGGGTATTATCATGTGTCAACACTTTATGGGTAGCCATTGGGAGTTATGAGTGCTTTAGACAATCACTGTGAGGGGAAACATGTGAAGATGACACTGAAGGCACCTTGATAAACATTCCCAATGTAATTATGAATAGAAGAGTTTCGTAAAGCAATACTGTTTCCTGAAGGTGCATGGATGGTGGGCAGTTAAAGATAGCAGAGGTCTCTACAAGTGTTTATACGCTTGGTTACTGTGAGTACTAAATTAATATGAATTAACTGCTCAGCACAAAGCCTAAATGTAGCCAGTGTTTAATAAGTGGTAAATGTTATTAGGAGGCATGATTCTAGATAGTCCAGATATCCATTTCTTTGCAGGCATACTAACCGCTCTTTTTTCTAATTAAAAGAAATTATGGAAAATGGTTGTGATTATGGGAACATACACACACATACAGCCTAAGGTTACTGCATTTTATTAAAAGACAGAGGTCCACAGTTCGGCTCTACTCATAGCAATTCTATTCTGAGACTGTGTATGTCTGCAACATGCAACCTGTTTTATCAGCCACGAAAAGCAATCAAAGAAGTGCGCCTTTTCTTCCAAGGTTCAGCATCAGATCCTGCATTTGCTTACATCTGAAAAAGGACAAAGACTGAAAAAATTTTTTAAAAAACCCTGCTAAAAGCATGCCCTGGGTTTTCTGAAAGTATCTTTGAATCCAATTGCCATTCATTTAGGATATGATCTTAAGCTGCTCATATCATCCAAAAGCCTTGGTTTGTAATGTTTGGATTTTCTGGATGTTAAGGACGGAAGCAGAAAATAAAAGTCTAAGTGTAGCATTCTTAATTCTAAGCATTTTTGCTAATTAGGGCCTCTAGCAGAGCAAGTCTTTCTAAACTACACCGTGTTCTGTGGCAGGTGTGGCCAATGTTGCATGCCAGGTTCTCTAGAGAAACACTGGTTACCACATCTGGCAAAGAGGGACTGAGATGTTTGTAATTGCTTTGGGAGTTTCAGTTGGCTGTACCTCTAAATGGTAATGAGGTCTCAGAGACAGAAAGGAAGAAACCGAATTCATGTAAGACCCACACCGATTGGCTACATCCACAGCCACTAAAAGCAGGTCATCTTTGAATGGGTTTTTAAGCTCTTTTTGAATACACTTTTCTTTATCATTCCTCATAGCAGGTGCAACTAGAAATAGTGTGTGTACCATAAAATGGAAGTAGTGAATTGTCAGCAAAGACGAACATTTCTAATGTGGGATAAATCATAACAAATAGAGCACATAGGCAGATAACAAATATATTTAAATTAAGAGTGACTATCAGGCTTGAAATTACTTTGATTGACTAAGAGGCTGATGTTGACTGATTTACTTTGTGAAGTAACTAAGTGCATGTGTACGCGCGTGCGCACACGCACACACATCCTAGGTCATTTTCTGAATTTAAGTGGAGGATTTGGGATTCAGTGGCACTATGTCTAGAGCAAGGCCATTCTTCCCACACACTGATGGACCAGTTTTCACGTGAACTCCTTTAAGTCTGGGCACCATTGCTAGGAGCTACTGGTAAATGTGGTTCTGTTGCCTTGGAAAACATTATATTCATATAGAAGATCAGCAGAAATGAAATCTTTGGGAAGTGGAGCATAGAGAGGGTTAAAGGTGGAAAAAGAGGGTCAGAACATGAAGGATGCTGTGTGGGCTCTTCAGTGAGGATTAGGGGCCCGTTCTTGGGATGGAATTGGAGGTGGAGAAGGGGTGGGAGAGTGGGGCTGTGGGTAGTGTCACCTAAACCACAGGGAGAGAAACTTTGTAGTATGAGGGGAAGCCAAGAAAGCAGAGGAAGACAGTAAGCATGTTTTCAACCTCAGAGTCTACTCCCTTTTCTGAAGGAAAAAAAATTACACCGTTTCCTTTGGCACATGCAAATAAAGATGTCTCCTTTGAGTTAAAGATTCGACTCGTAGTAACATGTTAATGTGTGTTTTGGTTTCTACTGAAGTTATGCATTGTTTTTATACATTTGGTTAATGACTTTTCTAAAACTTTACTGCCAGGCCTTCAGTACTTGAAAGCAGCTCATTAGATTTTCATTAACTCACTAGCTTTCACTCAACACTAGGAATCAAAGTCCTACAGGGCCATTCTGCAAGGCCCTTATAGTCAACTCATTAACAATTTCCAGTTGAACACACTTTAGCAGTGTATTTTCAACCTTTTTATTACCACCACCCCAAGGAGTTTTTCAGACAAATTTCCCCCCAATTGCCCTTTCCCACAAAATTTCAGTTCCGAAGATATACTATGTATTCATTTATGTAAATGTGGACTTTTGGAGGGTCACAGACTATTGTCGTATTTAAAATACTCCCCAGCCCAAATCAACTTTTCCTGCTTTTGGTGGGAGACATTGCCCCTATAGAGAATGTATGCTTAAAAACTACCAAACAATGATTGTGGTCCTTCCAGAATAGTGTTTTCCTCATAATTGCCTTCTTTGTTTGAACAGTTAACTCTTTTCAGGTTTAGCAGCTCCTTTCCCTAAGTAACTAGAAGTGGAGCTATTCTAAGGCCTCCTCTCAGAAGGAAAATGCTTACCATGTCTCTAACACAAATAACAGTGCCCTAGGATGTAACTATCAGTTTCAGTTGCTGTAACTGAAACAAACAATTCAGTAGTCTTTTAGGGTTTTGTTTTTTTAAATATGTTTAAAAATTCATTTTTTTCGGTGTGGGGAGGGAGAGCATCAGGATAAATAGCTAATGCATGTGGGGCTTAATACCTAAGTGATGGGTGGATAGGTGCAGCAAACCACCATGGCACCCACTTACCTATGTAACCAGCCTGCCCATTCTGCACATGTGTCCTGGAACTTAAGTAAAATTTAAAAACTAAAAATTGGTTTTTCTGCTAACCTTAAGGAAGACCAAGGCTTGAACTGTCTCCCTTTTAGATGCAGAATAAAGATCAATATTGTTGTTTAAGGCACTTCTCTGCCACTGTTAATTAAGTCAAAGAATTATCTAATGTGGCCTTTCCAGTTCTTTGCTGTGTCTAGTAATTCTATGCTGTGTCTAGTAATTCTATACCTAGTAATTCTATCCTTAAAAAAGGATATTTTCTGGAAATCCTGAGTATAAGGGCTGTCATATGTATTCATTCAATAGCGCTGCCATAACAAAATATCCCTGACTTGGTGGCTTAAGCAATAGACATTTATTTCCTTGAAATTCTAGAGGCTGGAAGCCTGAAATCAAGGTGTCAGTAGACTTAGTGTCTTCTGGGAACTCTCTCCTTGGCCTGTAGATGACTATCTTCTAGTGTCTTTATATGTCCTTTTGACTCCAACTGTGTATGTCTGTGTCCAAATCTCCACTTTTTTGAGGGACACAAGTCATATTGGATTGGGGCCCATCCTAATGACTTCATTGTAACCTAATTACCTCTTTAAGGCTCTGGATCCAAATACAGTCACATTCTGAGGCGCTGGGGAATAGGATATCAACATATGAATTTTGAGGGGACATAATTCTGTCCATGTCATGTAAGACCAGGTACAAAGAAGCCTATTCCAAGCCACAAATACAGTTTGACTAAGATGTATTTGTTCAAATCCCCACTATGTGTTTTACTAGCTGTATGTCTTTCAGCCACTCACTTAACCTGCCTAACTGCAATTCTAATTAAGCCTATAATAGTCATCCCTGTCCCAAAAGATGGTTGTGAGAATTGCGTCTAATTAATAACTAAAAAGTGTATATGTCTAGCACAGCATCTGCCTTGTAGTAACTGCTCAATAGAAGAGAAGTGGTTTATTACAACTTTCTTTTGAATTTGGATCCAGACTTTTTGGGAACTGGAAGATTGACAAGTCAGTAAATATTAGTAACATCAAGAAAGAGAAATAAATGAGCATTATTGAGCTATAATATATTGAGTCCTCTTATGCACATAGTGGGCCAAAAGTTTGGTTTTTGCATAAGATCTGTAGATTCATTCATTGAACAATATTTATTGTGCATTGCAATATTTACCAAATACAGAAATCAGTCATCTCACCTAGGTATGGAGGGCTCTACTCACAGCCAATACTCAGTCTCCCATATTCCTTGTAATAGATTCCCTGGCATTGGGGAATTTGTGAGACTCAGATATTAAAAGGTGCCTCAAGTTGAACTACTATTACTGCAGTCAGAAATATTTTTGCTTTCTTCAGAAACAACCTTACCTATATTCAGGGGCTATTGTGTGGTATCATACTACTGGTCCACATTACCAATTCAGCTGCTACAGCAATTACATAAAGGAATTCTTGATAACGGTAAAAGCCATTATGCTGTTCCTGAGAGAATGCATTCCACAGCATTCATTAACTGTGCCAGCCTGGAGATGCACAACTACCACTGTATACACTTGAGATCACACACTGTAAGGACTGGAACTCTCTCAAAGCCACAGTATATATCTGTGTTGCTTTGCACTCTTGCATTGCTCATCCTTTACAACAGCCCTTCTCCTGTCCTCATTCTCAAAACTAAAATTAAAATCAGAATGAAGTAAGGCTGCAGAATGTCGTTTATGGGGATGGATTAGGCTTCAGTCTCCTGGAACCACCGTGGGTCACTCAGCTCCATGGAAGACCCCCCCAGATGGTCTAGACCCAGAGTCATTCACAGCCACAGAGTAGTTAAAAATTTTTCATCCTATAGTATGCCCTTTTTAGAAAAAATAATCATAATGATGGGAGATAGTGATAAATCTGTGATGTCTTTATTCATTAGTTTCCTGATCTCTCTCTCTCTCTCTTCTCTTCCCCTACCCCATTATTTTCTCTTTGACGTGAACAGCCAACATCAGATGATCTTGTTTCATCTGCTGAATGTTCAAGTGATGATGAAGACTTCGTTGAATGTGAGCCGAGTACAGGTAGGTCAGGTCAGTCTTGTTTTGCTTGCTTTTTCTTTTGCAAAAAACAATACATACATATATGTGATTATACATGTGTTTTATATAGAGATTATAGTGTGTTAATGTGTGTATATTTTTTATATCTATATATGTATAAGCATACATATATAAATATTGTATCAGTGAAGGCATCAAATCCCATGGAAGGAGCAATAAGATCCTAGAAAAATTTTAAGTCAGTCTCTTGATAGCTAACAAAAAAATCATGGTATATGACTTAACATTGGGCAGACAGATGCCCAGATTTACCACTGGAGCAGCAAATGTGTAGCAGCCAGTGGCATTATTGGTTTGAAATAACGAAATTTGAAATATGAAATTAACAGAGGGTGGGAACGTGAGGAAATGTATATTGGAATGACATCAAAAAAGGATGAAACCATGGAGGAGCTTAAAGATTGGTAAGTGGAGCCATAAAGATTGGTAAATATCACTTAAAACTCACTAATTGTTCTGAGCTAAGAGAACCAAATATATATATACATACATATATATATATATATATATTTTCCATGGGATTTCAACAGCAGTTAACATGGTATTATCTTTATACTAATTTTGTTAACTGTGTGTCTACAGAAGTTGTGCAACAAGATAGTAAGCACAAAATTAGTACTGTACCATGCCGTGTCAACAGCTGTGATGCTTCAAAATGTATCTACTGTGCTGAAGTTGAGAAGACTTTAGCAATCAGAAGCTTCAATGTGTTCCCCATTTGGACCCAGATACATTTTGATGTTTTATGGTTTTTCTTTATAGTGAGCTATATATGAGATAATGTCCAGCAGGCAATTGTGGTCCCCAATTATTTCCTATCAACTTTTCCCAGTCATCTGTTTTGAGACTTACTATAATTTGAACATTTATATGTATATAATAGAGAACAGATATCATCGAATTTCTGTGTATGTTTACTAGAATTAAAAGTTGGAGTTGGGCCAGGATCTTATTTCTGCAAAGACTAAAATAAATATAAAACTTTCTAGTTGAATTTTTGGGTTGTTTTCCATTTTTTTTTTTCCTTTTAAGAAAAGGAGAGTCATTAAAAATTCTCTTTTGCTACTTCTAGAAAATGTAAGCTTCATGAAAAAATAATCTAATAAAAATAAAAGCCTTCCATTTCTTACCCCTAAATGATTTACAAGATTTCAGATTTGTTGAAGCCTGACTGCTTTGGTTTCTTGCAAGTGGCTTTGGATCCAGGAAGTTCTGTGGGTTCACACCCTTAGCATGGCACAGGGACATATCATTAATATGATGGGCCTTCCATTCTGCAGTGTCATCTGTTCCACTGGGAGCTCAGCTGTGTGGAGGGAAAGCAAATGTGACCTGGTTGAATTATTTTCAGATTATTCGGTAATAATAATCTGTATGTGCTATGTGAGGTTTTAATCCTAAAAGGGCAGATACATCCAAACTAAACCAGAACTCAGGTGCCAAGTTTTCATTCATTCAATAAATATTTTTGAGCACTAAGGCAGGATACAGTATATCTCTAGATTTGAGTCCTTTCTATTAAAAATAAGCTGTCAGAGGATAGAATAATTTTGCTAACTCCTAGCATAATTCAGCAAATATTTTTGAGAATCAACTGTGTATGTTAAGCATGTGCTAGATATTAAGGGTTCATGTATTAATATGACACAATCCACAACACATAGATTACATTAGCTTATTTTGTGGCGAACAGTTTAAGACACCTAGCCTTTAATTATATTCATCCTTTTTTTTTTGAGATAAGGTCTCACTCTGTCACCGAGGCTGGAGTACAGTCACATGTTCATAGCTTGCTGCAGTCTCAAACTCCTAGGCTAAAGGGATCCTCCTATCTGAGTTTCCCAAGTAGCTAGGACTACACGCACCACCATTTTTTTGTAGAGATAGAAGTCTCACCACGTTGTTCAGACTGGTCTTGAATTCCAGGCCTCATGAAACACTCTTGCCTTGACCTTCAAAATGGTTTTCTTTCTTTCTTAGCAGTGATATCTCTATGTGCAGCAATGTTTATCAAATCTGTAGATTTTAAGGCTTATAAAACTGAGGCTTGGTCATTCTGAAATACCACCATCTCTCCTCAACTATTCACCCTGCCTCAGAAAGTCATCTCCATAGCAACCTTCATAATAAGGCAGTGGGCTTTTCCAGATCTCAGCTTCAGATTCTCAAGCTCTATCTATAGCTCCCCAGGTTATAGGTATATATTGCTATTTGTTATGAGACTTAAACAGGCCTAAACCTGAATGGCCCCAAACTAAATTCATTTGTTTTCTAGAAGCCACACAGGAATTTTCTCTGATTGAAAAGCAGGGGACAGAAATTCAACACCAGCATTCCTTGAATAACATTTGGCGGGTGGGGAGATAGAGTTTTTAAAACAATCTGTTGTGTTCTATAAGGGACCGTGAGAGGAGATGAAGTAAGTGACAGAACCTCTACCCTGAAAGAGCTAACATGTAGCTCTAGGAGACTGACACTGATTTCCTCCACCTTTGATTATTCAACATTTGAAGAATGAGCATTGCATTTTTCTAATTTTATTTACTCCCTAAAGTATTCCTGGTGAGTGATTTGGATATAGAGGGAAATATGTCAGAGGTATATTTAATACAAGAAGTAGGTAGATATTCCTAGCAATGCTGAGAGTGAAGAGTTTTGCCCAGAGGACCTGATTTGCACCAATGGGGATTACCTGCTTAGAGCTAGCAAGCCCTCTTTTTCATCACATAAGAAGTATGTCCTCAGCCTGCACGTTTTCCAGAAACAATACAGATTAAAACCAGTTTCTTGGGCAAGATTTGCACTACCTAAAGAAGGGATCGACTGCCCATGCAGCAACAGATAATGGTGATTTTTACATAACTTTGACATAAATCGCCAATCTTGCAATTCCACGATATGGCTAAGATTAAAATTCTGGGTTTGAACAGCCTAATTCACTGCCTCCCTTTCTAAAATATTATTCCCGGCCTTCTGCTTGATGGAACTACACTAAATTCGGCTAACTTCCTTGGCCATGTTCTGTCATACTTACGACTTTATCTTCTTTCACTTTGCTAGCATGTTACTTGTTTTCTAGCTGTCTCCGTTTATGAAGCATTTAACTTCTACAGGTTACTTTCTGATTAGTTTACATCCATTTGAAGCTCTCACATTTCATAAATTTGGGCAGTTTAGCATATGCTATAATTCAACAATTTTTATTTTCATGTGGGCAAAAAATTTTAAATGAAATAATTTATTTTTTTCTCTAAATCAAATTGGGTTGTTAAACCGCTGGGTTTGAGTTAGGTGTAAGCAATCACCTTTTACTCTCAGAACTTACTTTTCTGCTTAAGGGTCACTGTGGTTTGGTGTAGCTTAATCTTATAATATTTAGTAACAACTTAAATATTTTTGGAGTTTGGTCAATAGGAGTCTAGAAACCTTGCAAATCCAATGCAAGTCAAATTTTCACTGTATATTTTTGCCGATACATATGTAGATGAGTAAAAGTAACTTCGAAATCATGAGAACAAGGTACGAAGTAAAAGTTTAGTTAGGATTTGTTGCCTACATTAGTTTGAAACAGAGAACTTTATATTTCTATCTTCATTTCCCCTTGAAGAGCTAAAATGTAACCTGTTGAATCATTTAAAATTTATGATTTCATATAATAAAGGCTGCATATAACAAAACCTACGTTTTAAAAATAATAATTTTAAAATTTTTATTTGAGACTGGGTTATAAGACTGGCTAATTTTTCTATTTATTTGTGGAGATGGGGTTTTGCCATGTTGCCCAGGCTGGTCTCAAATTTCAGTCTCCCAAAATGCTGAGATTACAGGCATGAGCCATTGTTCCTGGCCAAAATCTACGTTTTTTTAAAACAAAAGTATTCTCTGCTTTTTCCTATCCCTACCTTTTTCCAGGAACTAGATTCTTTTATAAGTCACAGATACAGTCACATTTTCTGAATATTTGCCTCAAGAACCCAGAATTGAACCTTTAAACAATCAAGTTACAATAAAACCATCTGCATCAGATGAAAATATTCAGAAGTGTATCTGAATAGCTATCTAAAGATGAGGGTTGGAGTTTTAACTCTTGATTTATAAATGTTGTGTTCTTCACAAAAGAAATCAGTATCTATTTAATATTTTATATTCATTCTTTGCATATAAACTGTTTCCTTTCCAACTGCACTTCTATTGATCTTAAATAGTGCAGTAAACTCATATTGTCCTTTTTATCTCTTTGAATCCAACAAGAAAAATAGATGAGCTGGAGAGCATTCAAATAACCATGAGGAAATGGGATACCCTCCTGAGATTATGGAAGCCAAATAGCAATTAAGATCATTAGTAAATTCACATTTGTGATCTAAAATGTGGGAATGAGTTCCGAAATTCAAAGAAGATAATAAAATTCACTTTCCATTTCTTTTCTTTCTTTTACCCCTGCTGCAATCCCTAGAATTCCCATCTTTTGAAATAGAATAGTAAAAACAAATGTATTCTTAGATTAGCTCTCACATAATTAGAAATGATCAACTTCCTGGATTTTACGTATTTAAGTTTCAAGATTCTAAGTCTTGGGGGCAGGAGGCCACAGAAAAGAGGGGGAAAAATGTAATAACTTTATACCTGATAAATGGGCATGGCCATACTTAACCAAATTGATTCATCCAGTCATTATCCAGGAGTACATTTTTCAGTTTGTCAATTAGCAACTTTTCTGCCTTTATTTTCTTAAATGTCCTTTGATCAAATCTCAAGGGACAGCACTTCCACCAGAGGGCAGACGGTAAAAGGAAGTGAAGATGAAACACATCCATCCATCAATAAGTCAGCTAAACAGCTTTCAAAATGGTTGGATTGAAGAAGTTTAAACTAATGGCAGTAATATGAGATCACAAAATAATCGCTATGCTCAGAGTGGGTCTCAGGTATATTTTTACTCCTCAAACCTATAGTATTCACATTTGCAT